CTTCTCTCTCTCTCTCTCTCTCTCTCTCTCTCTCTCTCTCTCTCTCTCTCTCTCTCTCTCGAGGTTGAATCTCGATTTTTTTTTATCGGACACCCAAAATTTTTGACCCATTTCTATATCTTCTCGATAGTGTCGAACAGCGGAATTCAAAAATAGCAATTTTAAGGTTAGAAAGTATACGTATAATTTAAAAAAAATTACTGATTTTATATTAAACAAATTTTAATTCAAATCGACATCGAATTTTCGAAATTAAAAATATATCTTATTTGTCCAGATAAGTGTTCAATTATAAATCTAGGAATTAGGAACGCTCTGCAATATTGTAAATAAATAATATATAGTCTATTTGTGTTAACACAATAAGATATAATAAATATGTATCAATATAAATTTTCCAAAAATTTTCGTACCTATTAATAATTTCATACATAGAACTGGTATCTTTTAAAACGAGAAATACGTGTATAAAAATGTCAAAAATTTGTGCTGCATCAGAAGAAAATTTAACCTCGCTCTTATTTCCTCGCTAGATATTTTTCTCTTTTTCCTTTTTCTTTCGGTGTAAATTGTGGACCTTATCTAAAAGATACGAGACAGCCTGGATCGTGGCCAGGTTTCTCGAAATAGGAATAATTTTAAGCACCACTTGAAAACTATGCCAATAGTCTGTGTCCGCCATTATCGTTACCGTTGCACTTCTTCCGCTTCGTTCCAACCAGAAAATCTACGGGCACGCGGTAACCTAATATTGAGCTTAATCGTTATACGTTTCGACAAAACCAAATAGAGAATTCCCCTCATACTCCCTCCCCGTCCATGGAAACTTTAACAGGGCGAATCTTATCGAATGTTACCATCGGGGAACGAGATTCTTAACGAACCACTGTTACATACGTAGAAATAACGTAGGAATAAAAATGATAAGCGATGATCGTTGGCATTAGATAAATAGTTAAACCGATATTCTTAAATTTCGAAGTTTCCAGTTTATAATTCGTCGAGGCTGTTTAATTCTCTGCAATTAAAATTTCGTTTCCAAGAGAGGAAAAATTTTTTATCAAATTTTATAAACGTTCGTGTGGAAAATTTAAATGTATACGTAAATAACGTGGATAAATATTGCACATAAAATATTTAAAGTACTATAATATTTAGGGGATAAAATAAAGGGTCTGTTTAATTTTATTTTCCTTTTTTCAAATGTATTTAAAAATATGTATATCTTGTTTTTTTTATGAATTCTTATGAATTATTCGGAAAGGCGATCCTTTTTGATTCGAGCAACATTACTTTTTTTTTTTTTTTACAGGGAATTGAACTTCATAACCTAGTTTTTCCATTGAGAAAACAAACAAATTTCATAACTCTCCTTTTTCGAATTCATTTTTCATTTAAACTGTATTTCGAAGTTGCCTTTTTTAAATTAACCAGATTTACTTTACCCTCTGTATAAAAATTGCAAATAATTTTTTTTTCCTTTTTTCAACAATAAAATTCTAATTTCGTAAGCATCAAAGGGTTGGGTTTAAAAAGTGTGCTTTAAATTAATATTTAAAATACAATCATCCCTTGTTGTTATCATCCTCTTTTATTAAAAAACGTAAATGCATTATTCATAATTCTTTATAAACTAGATAAATAAAATTTAAATTATCAATAAAATTTAACTTCTTCTTCTTCTTTATTAATAAACACGTACATCATATTTATACATACGATATTCCGCATTCCAAATATAAAAGGATAAAATGGAAATAAATTTATTATCCCAAATGATGATACCACTGCAATTCTGGAATCGACTCGCAAATGAATTTGCACGAGGAAGGAATGGTCGAGCAGTGCTGGTCAACGAACGTCTCGACCGCAGCGACTCCTGCGGACGAAATAATTCGTATTTACATGAATACGCGGCAACGTCGGACGTGACGAAGGCATTAGAGCATCAAATCGAGTTAGCAGCGCGAATCGCTAACCGCATCAAGTCAGTGTCGGCCACCTTGTGCACCCTTGCCAACATCTGACTAACTCTATCCACGGACCAGGGATATAACCTGGTTCGGCCCCTTTGTCCACCGCCGGCCAATACGATCCGCGATTGGTTAGTGGCGATTGACTAAACTTCCACTTTGTCCACGTTCTATCGATAGAATTAAACGTGTGAATAAATAAGCGCCCTGTGTGAAGTGTCCTTCCCTGTCGAGGGTGAAACGAGTTTCGCCAATTTTAACGATGCTAATTCGGACCAGTTGCTGGTTGGGATTCAGAGAAGAGATTAGAGAAATTAAATTGGTCGAATATTCGGTGCGAGTGCATTATTGGGATGAAATAGGTAATGAAAAAAATGGTTACTCATTTAGAGAAGTGGAGAATAATACAAATTTTCTTTCCTTTTAATTTTTCTCTTATTTTATATAATTATATCGAATAGGATATATACATCTAGCATATTTGTAGCATACTTTTTAATTTATTCAAGAAAGAAAGCTTGTAATTAAAGAATTATATATAATTTAAAAAGGATTCGATAATGAATGAATAATATTTTTCTTATGATGTCGAACAACGTAGAGGCAACGTTAAATCAATTATGCGTTAATATTTCTCACGATGGAAGGATATTTGGAGGCCGTTACAAACTATAACAATGCTTCTGAAGTTAAACAATTTTCCATGTTCAACGGTTGGTAGGAACGGTTGGCTGGTTACATTGAACGAAGATAATTCTGGCGATCGCGAAAGAAAATTGATTTCGATTTGATGTACGCTTCGATATAAACGGTAATCCATCACATATCACAATGCGATTTGAACCGCAGTCAATGACGTCGCGTTGACCGTCATCCTGGCAACACAATCGATTTTAACTCGATGCGGGCGTCGCGTTTGCCTCCGGCTAGCATTATGCCGTGTACCGTGTAAAACGATTTTGTCTAGAAACGAAATAAAAGGTCAACCGATAAACGATTATAATCTACATCTACGTCGCTGACAGCCATGACGATCCCTCGATACCGTTATTGTTGTCGCAGTTTAGCAATAATCTGCGCTTCGCGCATCGTTAACCGCCAAGTATAGTTTTGCAGATTGCAAATTTGTTCATTTAAATAATGGAAGAATGAATATTCTAATGTTTCGATTTTGGAAATTTAACGCAATGACGAATTGATTTTCTATTTTCTTTTTCGATTGATCGAAAGAAGAGAATGTTATTTTTGAAGTAATTAAAATCAATAAATATATCTAATCTAATTTTTCCTCGATAACAGATGGAATAATATATATATATATATATATATATATACTATAAACTGGAAATTGTTATTTTAACGATAAATGACGATGATAATTTTTCACATCGGATAATGGAAAATGCCCGATGGAGATTAACTTTTAATAAAGGGAGAGATAACGAGAAAAATTTAAAATATTGTCACGGAATATTAAAAAATATATAGTGTGTATAACAAACGTATAAATTTTATATCAAATATTTTCGACTCGAAAATATGAACAGAGAAGAAATCAAATAAAAACTTAATACGTTCGTATCCAAGCCCGTATTATGTCCTCGCCAATAAATGCACAGGGATAACTCATCGAGGAGTCACGAGATGTCGCGGCGGGCATTTTTCTCGTCAACACGGTCTATCGACTTCGTAATTGAGCGTTACAGGTGTTCCCAACACTCGAACAATGCCGGCGGATTGTTCAATAACTGCAACGAATTGTACGTTTCGACGGTAAAATCGTCCAAGATACGGGACGGACGCGGCTGTCGTTGACAGGAACGCATTGCGCGTTTCACGCTTCGCTTTAATTAAGCAATTATCACCGCTTATTACGGAAAATATCGAGTAACGTTCACGTGCACAGAAGAGAAACGGTCTTCGTTTGTAATTCACGTTGGTGTTGACCAACGTTGTTGGTTAATTCTAGCGTAACCATAGTCAACAATCCATGTGTACGAAATTTGCTACATTATTTATATTTCTAGTAATTCTAAGCGTTGTCGAATTGTCGTCGTCGTTGTCTTTCGAGACTGACTAGGTTAGGTGAAGTTTTTTTGCCTGATTTTGTTACCGTAAAACTAAGCTTCGTGAAAATAGCATCAAATTAATGATATTGATATTTGTTGTTATTATATCAATATACTTACGCAATATTTTCTATATTAGAGTTCAGAATTTCACCAAAAAAGAGGAATATAGTGAAAGAAAAAAGAACGAGGCTCGCGTTAATGAGCAAACTTTCCAACAACTGTCAACGCGGAAACCGAGCTCGAACGATCTAATTATCGATTCTTCATAATCTAGGCCATGTGATCTCGTTACATCGTGGTTATCTTTCAACGTGCGACGAGCGAACGTGTGTCATTCAGCATCATTCGTTTATTATTTCTTTTTTCCTTTTCATTCTTTTTTTTTTTTCTTTCTTCTATCACCATTTACGCGTCACACGATTTTTTTTCCGTTTATCATGACAGCTTGTATCACTTTTAACAGCACGTTCGAATTCGTGCGCGCACCTAGCCTAACCTCGCCGCACTAACGCACTTTTCTCTTCTGCACATTCCTTCACACGCGCAGCTCTGTCCAGGCCCATTTACTTCACAGGTACGTACGTCATCGTGTGTCAATGTCGTAGTTTGTAATAAACCGCTATTATAGTATAGTTTTAGTAATTGTATTTAGTCTGTTGAATACACTTAATGGATCTGTTTCGATCTATGGCTATAGCTCCATCGAGCAAAAGCTTATAGAAAAAGAATTTTTATAGGATACACGTTTATAAGGCACATAATTAAAGAGACATTATTACAATGGACTATAAAATTATATATCGTCAGAAACATTAGAGACTTCGCTCGGTTAAGCTGTAATTAATTTTCTTTATTGGATCTCTGTTATTATAGCTTTTTCTCTCCAAATCCATTATATTTCTTTTTTTTCATACAACAAATTTCAACGTTCCTCCTCAATTATTCCGTTCTCGGTTTCTCTTCTCGTCCAAAAAAAAAAAAAAAATAAATCAAAATACACGAATTACATATTTTTTTTATATATATATATATTTAAATATCCAATTTTCATTTTATCCTGAAAAATTTTTTCACGACAATCACTTTATTTATTTATTATTGTACGTATACCGTGGGATTCAAGCGTATCATCGATGAACAACATTGTTTAAATGTAATTTTCGCGAATTAGTCGCAGGTAATCGCCACACGTACACGCAATTGCACACAGCGGCGAAGTTGCGATCGCTAAGTTAATAGATTTTAATCCAGATGGCCGAAGAGCGAAATTCCATTATCCGGCGTCGGAGTTGCCGCAAACCAAGTTACACAGCTTCGCGAAAGCGTAATAAACCACAGTATTGCAGTTAACCTTGATTTACAATAATGCGCCCTGTAACATTAACAACCCTTAATGGTTATACATTGCCCCAATTATATATATGCTTAACGCGTTATCGATTTGCCGCGTCATCGTCCCTTATTGCACCCGCTTTCTATTATCCATCGCGTGTTCTTACAAGATATACACGGATCACGTATACAGATTGCAATTTGCTCCGGATAAGTACGATTAAATTCTAACGAGCTTGTTCGTTGTTCGATGAAAAGCAAAGAAGAACAAGTGTTTGTGCGTGTGTATATGTGTGGCTCTTCTTTCCTCCCCTTCCTTCCCCCCTTTATGCAACCAGGTATTTGTTGTACGGTGAATTCTACTGAGAATCGTTTGAGAAGATATATATATCTTTTAATGAGAAATGCAATTATGTTGGGTGAAAGTATTCTTCGAGTTATTTTATCCGGAAATAATTAGATAAAAGGAGTGGAGAAGAGATAAAGAAATAATTTCTTTTCGCGTAATTTTTTTTATTATTCCATTTCGTAAACAAATTGGTAGAAATTGTAATTGAAATTGAATCGTAATTAACTCTTCATTAAATGGAATGAATCTTCGCTGATTCGTTAGTGAGATAAGTGGAGGACTTGGCGAAATTGAATTCCAGTTTCGTAAAGTCAAACGAAAAAAAACGACCAGCATGTTTACTCTTCGCGAATGTGTAATACACGTACACAGGCAGGCGTACGGTTTACATCGTGAATACGTGGCTGAACGCTTGTATCGCTTGCAGCATGCCTGCCAGCCCTTCTTTTGTGCCCTTTGCATTTAGGTAACTTTAATTATTCGCCGAGAAGAGTTCCTTACAAGTTTGAATAACTTTATAAGCAACTCGGCTCCGGAATGCCCGCAACGCCGGGCCCCCAAGGGCCGGATACCCCGAGCACCCTGGCCGGAAATGAAAAATTTTTAGAATTACCGTCGCTGGCTTTTAAACGGTGTAATAAGCGTTTACACTTGAAGCCCAACGAAACGTTGGTTACAACGTGGATGAGGAGAAACTTTCGAGATATTTTCCTCGATACAAAGATTGTGAAGAGATTGCATCATCTTCGGTAGATTTTATGTTTTTTTCTTTTTTTTTTATTCGCGATGATGAAAGCAAGATGGTGTAATAAAGATGCAACGTGAGATGGGACGTAAGATGGGAAGGAAAATATAATACTTGTCGAAATTTGATTGAATATAATTTTTGTTGAAGAAAATTTCGTAAATTTACGTATTCGGAGAAAGATTAAAAATTTTTGTTTTTCCTTTTTTTTTTGAAAAAAGATTTTATTCATTCGCGTAATATCGTGCAAAATAGATCCTTCATATCCCCATTTACGAAACGTAATTAGGAAACGGCTAGTCATTGATGCTGTTTAATTGCTCGCGTTTCCACTGGATAGTAATCCATTGGTGTCACGTGAACACGGATAAGGGGGCGTAAATGAGAGAGAGAGAGAATGGAACTTTCGTATAATCGTGCCTATATACGCAATCATCCATCCGTGAAATAAACGTTGCGTGCCACGCATCGATGAAGACACCCATTCTTTCTACTGTGGCTATCCTATATACATCGTTGCCCCTATTCACGAACAATTTTGATACGGATACAATCGATAGTCTCTCTTTTCGATCTTACCACTATTTTTGATAACTATCCTAATAATCTTTTATTGTTATTTGGAATAAAAATTGTGAGAAAAATTATATAGGAACAAATCGACATATAGTGAAATAGAAGAATTTCAACGAATAAAAATTTTCGAATACACATTATGCATGTTTTAAATACACGCGCATGCATAAGATATCTATGGCGCGGGAGAAACGCGGGAATTCAAGTTTTTGCGCGATTTTTTGCAGACACTGGTAGAGATTCGCCGCCGGAGCCAGCGCCACCAGAAGTGCCGCCGCGTGGACCGTCTTTGCACGCGACCCACACACTGCGCACGCAGCAAAATCGAAATGGCTGTCCACCGAACGCCACGGGAAACTTTGCTGTGCCAACCGATCAGATGCAGACGGAAAAATACTCGGGTAAGTGTATAATAGTTTGTTGCGTGTCATGTCTCGATCGTGTGTCGAAATTTTCGCCACGAAACATACAGCCAATTTTCCAACGTCATTCGAATCTTAGGTTAGGTTTCCTTCTTTGAGAATTGAGAATTAATAATGTGACAATTTTAAAGATATACGAAATTACGTTGATAATGTTAAGTAAGTTGAATGATTCATACACAAGAACACGTATTAAGCATAAAGGAACATTGTACAACCCTTTCGTCGTGTTCACGCATGCCGATCGCTGACGCATCGAATTAACTTCCTACGCGATTACTCGGAATTAATTAGGGAACGGCTGACGAAGTGCACGCGTCGGCAGCGTTCCTCATTATTTCCACGGCCCTTCGTGCTTTATTGAATCCTTGAAGATACATTACCAATGCAGCCCGCTAGTTATGAAAGTTTGAGAAAGATAAAATCTCTCCGGTGAGCCAACGCAGAGGAAGTCCGTCTCTACCGTGTTCGACTAAGGGAAGAGGTTGAATGAATTTATTAGAACTGATTACTATTTAATTCGTCATCCGTGAACGAGAAAACGGATCGTCGGAGAATGTCGTGAAAATAATATTTTCAAGATGGAATAATGGCAGAATAGAATTCCTCAGAAGAATTATTCATGATAGTGAATATAAATTTTCAAAAAAAAAAAAAAAATAGACAAAAATTCTTATTCCTTTCTTAAATTTCTCCTTTTCCTATTCTTTTCTTAAAGTTTCGAGTTTATAATTATATGTAACGATATGCTTTCTTCTAGAAAATCTTCTAGAATATTTGGAAGATCAATAAATATTTTATCGATATTAATACAATATCTCCACAATGGATATTTACCAAGAATTATTGTTCTCGTTGACCACATTAACCGATAAAACGTATCAACCTATTGTTTGAAAATTCGAAGAGGATTGAGGCGGTCCACTAGCTCGAGGTAATGCGGTTCAGTTTTCAACGAACGAGTGTTTAATTTCGCGGCGCGCCCTCTCTCCGCCCGGTTATGTAGATGCGAGATCGCGGGTGCGATGGAAATCTGTTTAAACTAATGGCGAGTATAGTCCCGGGGATTTTGCATTAACGCCCCCGTTAATTCATTGTAAATATACTCGGTGTGTATTCGTTTCTCTATATTTCTATGTACACACTATTAATATATTGCTCGGCGACTAAACATCGTTTGTACCGGCATGGGAGCTCGTAACAAGCTGCCTTCCCCCACCACCAACTCCTTTACCCGAATATTCGACGTTACACACGTGCGCTGCGATCACTCCCCAGCGTGGCTCCCCCTATACGTACATGTTCTACGTGCGATTTACATTCTGCCATGTTCGATTCACGTTTACCGATGCTATAAACACTTCTACGATAATAGGGGCGCGTTATTAACCAACAGGGGTTATCGCCAGTCATTAATCATCCGGTGGCTACCTGGAGACGATATTTTCGAGTGTTGGACCGTGTTACAACGTGTTTTCGGGATCGACATGGACAGGTCGATCATGTTACGATTTATGTGATCTTCCAGGCAATTATACTCGTGAAAACGTTACGTCGAATCAGGGATTTGATTATATACGATTATATAACGAATTAATAAAAATATAGTACATGTGATCATTGAAACATTTCAAGAAATATCATTGTCATCTTTTTGAAATAATAATAGATTATTCTGCTAGTGAATCTAGGTTAGAAGTTCATTCAGAAAATTTCTGGTATTCTAAAATTAACATCGCGATATTAGCCCCGCAATTGAATATTCGGTTATGAATTATGGATTAATTTAAAAGTAAGTCTTTCCAGGTTAGACATATCCCTTTTACGTATTAAGAATTTAGATTACTCTCAGAGATTCGGTTTCGTCTACACGTTCTACCACGTGAAATATTGCCTTAATCTCGAACGCTGGATACCCAGTCACTCATTATAAACACACCAAATTTCTGTTCTCACATTAGTCTCGTGCCAGAAGTAGTTTCCGCCTAAGAAACGATCCGGCAAACAGGTTAACGCGGCTTTAATAATTCAGAGGCAATGTGAATGGGAGGATTTATTATCATCGCGTTCCTTGTTTGTCTTGATACTGATTCTACGTTCATTATCCATGATTCTCTAGGTACGGTATCCCGTAAATGTTTATCTACCATCTTGAAATATCTACCGGAACGAAAATTGATACCGATGCCTAAAAATATACACGAAGGTATTATGAATTTATTAAGATCGCTTGTGCGCGGTTGTTTGATTTAATAATATTGTAGGACGCGTTTTCCGCGCGCAGCTCGCGAATCATAATGTTTAATTTAATAATATTGTTCGATGCGTCGGCTTGTAGTCCCCGTGAATTTAAGCTTTCGAACGGTTGGCGGTAGCCATATTGCTTGCAAAATTATTTTTCGTCATTCCCGCCGGGATTGTTGTTTCAATTAAAAAATTTTTTTATCCGATATCACATCTCACAATCGAAACTGATGGAATGCCAATTTTATGCGATCACGAATCGTTTCGTTTAATAATGTTCAAAATATGACTTTTCTCTCTCTCTCTCTCTCTCTCCCTTCTCTTTTTTTTCCCCTCATCGATTTCAACGTTTTTGCTTTTAATCAGCATTTAACCTTCGTGTATCATACGTGGGATTTTCGTATCGATTTTACCTTTAATTTTAATTGCTCTAGTGCGAATGATTTTCCATCTCGTGTAAATAAAGTGATTACATTTTTATCAATTTCTTTCGTACAATTATATATCGATAATTTCTATCCTATTTTTTTTTCCCTCTCGAAATTAATGCTTTTCAACGAACAAAATAAACTTCTATCAATCCATTTAAATTTATATAACATGAAAGAAAACGCTACATGTCGAAAATCACGTCGAAAAACTTAAAAATTTTTAATCATGTATATCCTCCAATGGAAAATAGGAAAATCGGAAATTAAATTTGAAAAATAAGCTATAAAAGAGATTATGAATCTTCCTGGTAATAAACCGTGCGGCGTTTAACCAAACGCGATTGTTTCCGGTGGCGCGAAGCAATACGAAACGATTGGCTGGCTTCTATCTGTATTTTCCTAGGATCGGTGGAATTTTACGTGCTATGTTTCGCTGGTTCGGTGTATCGTTTGCCACCCATCGCGCTACTCGCTATGTTTACACACGAATTTATAGTAATGCGTTCTCGATAAGCCGTATCGCTTTAACGGACCGCGAAGCTTCATTGAATACCGCGATCATATCCCCCTCTCTTTCACCTCTCTCTCCCCTCAACCATCGGAGAAAAATCGATGCGTTTATTGTCGACCTTGTTCCAATTTTTACGCCTTCTTCCCCTCGTCTGCAAGAGGTGGAAGAAAAGTACAAAACAACAGGGAGGAGGGGAGGGAGGTGAGCTTTGTGGTTCGAGTCGTTATCAAAGCCTTTTTCCATTGACCTTCGAAGTCATAAAGTGTAAATGGTTTCGCTTTTAGAGAGAGGCCTTCGTTATGTTTGTGTCTGTGTTATATAGATTTATAACGCAAGGTGAAACCGTTCGTTCGTTTATGGATGTTTTTGTGTGTTCGCGAAGAAGGGAAGAGTCTTGTTTGTGTGGTTTTATGCGATGTAGTTCGTCTACGCGTCGATAATTTTTGAGAAGCGCAAATTATTGAAGATATTTTTAGAGATGTCTCTTCTCATACTCGGAATATATATATATATATATATTTGATATCATAAGTGTGTGAACATCAAACGTGTAAATGAAAATAAATATTTGAGTGGTTTAACAATGAACCAGACATAAAACCATATATTTTAATTAAAGTATATAATACACGTTTTTCTGATGTAATACGCCAACACGTATTAACCTGTCGTACTAATAAAAACAAGGGGAAAAAAAAAAGGAAAAAACATTCTGAACTTCCGCATTACACCTCGTGCATTCGCGTAATACACGCATATCAGACGCATCCTACCAGACTGAACGAGCTTTATTTTAAATTCGCTTAATAAATTTTAGTTTCCAAATGGAAATTATCGCGTTTCCCTCTCTCGGCAAATTTTTCTCGAAATATTTTGTCGAACAAAATAATTTATCTTGCAAAATACAATAATTACAATTACCTGTACAATTGTATAACCTGTACAACGACAAATGCACCAAACATTTCGCTCCATTCAAATCCGTCTAATTCAACTTAAACAAAAGGGAAAAAGAAACGGGGAAGGGGCCATCAGACAGTTATATATAATCACGACCGACTAAAATTGAAAAGCAACCATTATAGCGGCGCGTTGAGTGCATCGATAAAGCCCGAGCGCAGCGTTGACGGCGCGTAATGGCGACCGAAAAATCGCCGTGTTTTTCGGGCTAATGCCAACCATTACGAGACTGTAACTAACTGGCGCCACCGTCGAGAGATATATGTATAGTATACGCACGGTGGCAATTCTTGCGTGGACAATAAACTCGGCTCCTCTTCCTCTCCCACTCTCTCTTTCTATCCCCACTACCAGATCAGTCGTTCCATCCTCGTCGCACGTTTCACAATTTCCCGACGAATAATCAGCTTGGGCGTCCGGTGTACGTCGAATTATACACGGGCTGGGTAATTTTTACTGTTTTTCATGGAGGCTGCAGCGACGAGACAATAACGTCGAAATCCTTTTCACGCACGACGCGCGTGTGCATCGAATGTCAACGAGCGCTTTCTGACGGCCAACGCTCTATCCGACTGCGGGGATTGCCGGTGTATTGCACTTTTGCCGCGCCAGTTAAGCGGCGTTTATTGCGCGATCAACGCAACAATCCGTGCAGACTGCGTGGCCCCGTGTTTAACCTCCCTTCGTGTGACGCGTGGAACACGGATCGCGAATGGCGGCGCTAGTGATATTATTTAGTATATTGCTGTGATATCGAGTGTGTGATCGAGGTCCTTTTACGATTTGGACCGATTTGTTTCGGGGAGTTAGCGCGTCTATTTGGTATGAATAGC